CACTGCTTTTTCACCTGCCTTACTGTAACACTTTTCCAGTGTGTTTGGTTAAGGTCTTGTTTTTGTGGGAGCAGATTTTCTTAGTTTAGTAATTTTTCACACTTGATTTAAGCATATTAGGTTGCCTGCAATGAAACGCTATGCTAAAATTATGAAAACCCTATTGCAGTAAATTTTTACCTGGCATACCTGGATGGATTTTATTCATGTCACATTGGGTAATTTATATTGTTATGTATTACAGAAAAGAATGATTCAATTTTCCTGTATATTATTATAAGTAAGAGTCAAAAAAATGACTTGTGACCCACTGAATGAAATCACAAATAAGAAAATAAAAACAACTGTATTATTTAAAATGTTTAGATTTTATTGTTGTTCTTACTAAAAATACAGTCATTTGGTTAGTTTTATCAATTTCTAGCAATCATGAGTTTTAGTTTGGTTCTGTTTTCCATGTGTCTAGTTTGTTGCCATGATTACAAATCATGTTTTAAATGCAATAACAGGCGATTATTATGAAAATACAGTAGAAAAGTACTGTATAATGCAAATATTACTTTTTGCATAAAAAGTAAATGACAATTTTAACAAAGTATTACAATAGTATGGCAAAGAGAAAGAAAAAAAGACAATAAAATAGAAAAAAGAGAGAGGCCACATGAACAAATAGTCCAAATTAATGCAGAATATTAAATAAAGCACAAGATTTAGAAGTTTTATTTGGTTTCCTGTTATGAGAAACGGGTAAATAAAATAAATTATATTCATGTAAAGATCCAATTCTTATTTAAGAATGAGAAAATTTGGTATATTTACACCTATGTATAGACTTGGAAAACTTTCAATAAATAAATTAGCTTTATACAAAAACTTGAATTAAGGAATAGTTTTTCTTTAATGTAAAACCCCAAAAACATCACATCTATAGCTCAAATCACCACAAATCTTTTGGACAATCTGAGCATCAGACCAAGAATTTTTAACAAAAGGACAATGCCAAAATAAGTGAGCAACAGACTGAGAAAGAGCAGGAGACATTTTTTTAATGTCATTTTTGAATTTCTGTAAAAATTGTTTAACTGGATGATTACAAATCATGACAACCTGTTTAGTTGAGACACCGTTCGCTGCAGAGCCACTTGAGCTCCTGCGAGGGATAAGCTGTTTTAATGCTCAGACCCACCCCACCCCTAACCCCAACCCCCAGTGACATCACTTGTAGAAGTGCAAGGAAGGAGGAGCTGGAGCTCAGCTCTGCCCAAGTGGCTCTGCAGTGAGCACCACTTGGGTTTTGTTTGGCTTCGTATTCTCTGGTGTATTATAAACCAACTGTTTTTCATCCACGGTGTTGCGGTAACACTGCCCCTCCGTGGTGAGTTATGGACTTCAGATTTTAGTATAACATTTCAGAATATTATATCTAAAAAATAAACACTGCTTTAATCATCAATTATATTTATGGTTTTATATAGGCCATATTAAGCAGTCGGATGTACAATTGAGTTATTTTATAAAGGTTTTTGTATCGGACAAAAGGAATTTTTCATTCAGGATATTATTTCATATTTCATTATTATTTAATTCAACATAAATCTTCTTTGTCTAAATGCACAACAGCTGATTATACTGATGGGGTCGAATAGCCATTTGGCTGAGATGCCAACTCACTCACAACTGCCTTGGTGGTACAAAAGAGAAACTGTCCAGTTGCATTTCTCTCTAGAATTTCTGCTTATCTAGTTTGCAGTGAAATGACCATGGGGCTAATGTGCTTTTTATTTTTTATTTGGCTTTTATGTCCTTGCAAACATGCACACGCTGCTTCATCTCATGTACGTACTGTTACCAGTAGGTGGCAGCGCTGGCACAGAAACAGCTCTCAGTCCCTTCGTGGGTAGTTCAGAGAGTTACACTTTAAAACTTTGGGTGAAATGCTAAAATACTGAGATTTTTGGCTTCCTACCGATGTGCAGATCAGCAATCATTTAAATATTGAATTGTTTATTTTTTTACCTAATTGATACGGATTGGAGTTATGCCTGCTCTGAATAGTAAATATGAAAATAGCTTTGGTTTGTATTTGTATGTTAATTAATTAGTGGGGCGTCACGGTGGCGCAGTGGGTAGCACTACCACCTCACAGCTGGTTCAAGCCTCGCCTGGGTCAGTTGGCATTTCTGTGTAGAGTTTGCATGTTCTCCCCGTGATGGCGTGGGTACTCCGGTTTCCCCCGCGAGTCTAAAGACATGCTGTATAGGTGAATTGGGCAAGCTAAATTGTACTGTGTGTGTGTGTGTGTGTGTGTGTGTGTGTGTGTGTGTGTGTGTGTGTGTGTGTGTGTGTGTGTGTGTGTGTGTGTGTGTGTGTGTGTGTGTGTGTGTGTGTGTGAGAGAGAGAATGAGAGAGTATGGATGCTTCCCAGTGATGGATTGCAGATGGATTTGCATCTGCTGCGTAAAACATATGCTGGATAATTTTGATTGTTCATTACTCTGTGGTGACTACCGATTAATAAAAGGACTAAGCCTAAAGGAATATGAATGAATAATTAATTGATTTATTTATTAAAAAACTGGATTTAGGCAAATAGCAAATCTTCTTAAAAGCTTTATCTTGCTGGGCAGTAATAATAATGCATTTAATGTTTAAATGCATGTTAAAATGTATCTCACCTTGCCACGTAATCATATTTAGCAACTTTCTTGCAGTGAATTGACAGCCCTACTTATGGCGCTGCCCATAAATGTTATAATATAATATATTTATATATAAAATGTTTTTATATAAAAAACAGTTATAATACTAAAAATGCTATGAAATATGCAGAACTGTTAGCATCCTCTACAAATCTTAACTGTCCTGATCCTTCAAAATTTTGAGTTTTGATGCTGAAGAAATATTCAAGAAATAAAGAAATATTGTTATGACCAATTTTGAAAGCAGATGTGCTGCTTAATATTTTATGGAAACCATGATAAAATATTCAAAAATACTATTAGTTTTTATTGATCAAATTTACTGTAAAGTCTTTGGAAGATTGTATTTTAAACAAATGTTTTTTATATATTCTGATAATCAAAAAAGATGACACTTTTATCACATTTTTACACATTTTGCTGAAGAGCATTTTTTCCAGCATTGTAAGAAGAGCCACTGTTAATCACTGATCACATGAGTGATTTTTCAAAACCTGCAGATACAATATTGTACCTTCATTAACAAGACAAGACACTTTAACAGTGTCAAATGAGTTCCTTCAAGAACTATTCAAAAGCATTTTGCTATATCCAAAATGGGTTTTGAATATAGATAAATTTTCAATAAATATAAAACATCAAATACTTTTTTTAATGTTTATTTTTGTGTAAATGGATCTTTTTCATTTACAATAAAGAGAAAAAAAACTCAAAATATCTATTTTTTTGCTGAGCATTTCACTTTTCAAAAAAACGTTATAGAAATACTTAAAAGTTCATTTAATTTACTTAATTTGAAAACAGAAATAATATTATGCTAAAGTATTGTATTGAGATATGCACAATGTTTAATTAGTTTTGCAATGCTGAAATGTCTGCATGAACACTTTGCATATGCAGGACTTTTGCCATGCAGCTCACGTGCGTAGAGAGCAAACGCAAAAAGATGCGGATATCAATAATAAAACTGTATTTATCAGAAAATGCCTTGCAAATATTTATTAAAAATGCCTTAAATGTTTAGTTTACAATAAAGGTTTTGTTTAACCAGTTGTTTTATGTTATAGAACTTAATAATTAATGTTCATGAGTTTCTTTAAACATTTACTTTTAAATGATGATTTATATTTTAATATGGACATTATTTATAAATCACTTTGCATTTCCAGTAATATTTATTCTCATAATGTAATAAAAAGGAGTTGTCCAACACTTTTGTACCTTTTTAAGAGAACAATTGTGCACCTTCATTTCAGTACCATAAAAGGTACAGTACAGTATCATAAAAGGCCTTTTCTGTACCATATAAGGTGCAACTTTTACAAAGGTACAAAATTGTTCCTTAAGATACATTATTTGTACCACCGTGTACCTTTTTCAGAGCGTGTATAGAACTAACAGAGCAATTGATGTGAGGAAATCAGAGAAGATCATAAAATATAAACACAACCAGATCTACAAAGAAATCAGGTTAAATCATAATTGTATTTCCTACATAAGCACAACCATTGCTTCGTGTTATCAATTTCTACCAAGATCAAATACATGACTTAGATTTTTAAGTCTTAATTTGCTTTTTAATATCACCCCAGTATGTAAATGTGCAGTGATTTCTGTGCACCGCTGTGGTGAGAGCTCTTTTAAATGAATGCATTTGCACATCAAGGGCAGATTATGACTTCATTTAGCTACTATACCCATGAGGCGCCGCTGTTTACAAGCCAGTGAGACTCTGAACAGTCAGAAGCACTGCTTTAGCCCTCTGTCTAATGTATATTTACATGTATTTGTCCAAAGCTGCTTACAAAAGAGCATTTTATATCGCATTATATTTACACTTACTACGGCCCCATTTTATATACCATAGACCTATATATATATACCCCACCCGGTCGGATTTTTAGACTATATATCATATTCTATACCATGTATAAAAAGATGATCAAATATAACAGAATTTAGGCCTGTTCGTAATTTACAATATTTTCATAATCGTATCCAGTATGAGACACCGATATTAATGTGCATTCAGCATAGCCTCCTTTTGTGCGGATGTCCTCCACCTATCGCTGTATTATATTATATCTCATATTATGGGCTTGTGGATAAAAACCACACATACAGGCGCCTTCACGTGCGCCGTGATAAATTGCTTTCAGGTGGAAAAACAGGAGGTGGATGTTCAAGTAGGAATAACGAGAAGCGTTTTCGTCCCAGCCCTTCTTTTCTCCCTCCCACACAGACACACACGCACGCACGCACACACACACACACGACCCCCTCCTCCCGTCTCTCTTTTCCATCTACTCTCTTTTCTACAACAAACATGGCCGCGAAATCAGACGGTACAGCCGTTTCTTTGCAGAATGACATTCCGCCGACGTGCCTGCCCGGGCTGGAGAAGCGCTCGCCCGAGTGGCGTCCCGTCGGGAAGGAGTACTCCCTCCTGGACTGCTGCTGGACCCTCTGCGCCCTCTTGGTGTTTTTCTCGGACGGCGCTTCAGACCTGTGGCTGGCTGCCGACTATTATCTCAGGCGGGACTACTGGTGGTTCGCGCTGACACTGGTTTTTATCATCATTCCCTCTGTGGTGGTGCAGGTGCTCAGCTTCCGATGGTTCGCTTACGATTATTCGGACGCCAACGGGAGCGGCTCGGCTGCGGCTGCCATGGTGGCGGCGTCCAATGCGGAGAGCCACTTCAGCACCAAGGACAGCGATCAGCGGGGCGCTGGCCGCTCCGCTGCGGTCACCGGGAGCCGGAGCAGCGCGCAGAGCTGCTGCAGAGTCTGCGTGTGGCTCTTCCAGAGCGCCGTGCACGTCCTTCAGCTGGCACAGGTCTGGAGGTACGTGAGAGCGTGGAGCTCAGTGTAACGAGAGACAAATCTATAGCACATTTCTGTAAGGTGTCACATCAGCAGTTCATTCAGCATCATTATGTTCTGTCATCCAGTGTGCGCTGCTTCTTCTCCCACTCTCTCTCAAGCAAATCCACACCCACGTATTCAGGGCCATATGATTGAACTGTGGAGATGTTAAGATAGCACGGCTTGTATTAAGAGACAACTTCTAATGCAGTTAGTGATTATTAAAACAGACTTTGGATTTCGTAGGCTTTCATCATTGAGAACTTATTAGGTGTGGGATTTGCTGAGGGAAGATAGGAAGCTGGTTTCATCCTGGTCAGACACTGGCTGGTGATACTGAAATTGAATTTTCATTTGGTCTTATGTTCAAAACAAATCTACTTTTTACAGAATATTCATGATTTAAGGTGTAAGAATCAATTAAATTCATTTCACTAGCCACAAACCAATAAGATGAGAAAAGGACAATTGAACAAATATTGTTTTTAATAACATTGAGTAAATTAGAAATCCAACTATATAATAAAAAATCTATTTCAGTGCCCACTGATTTTATTAATGGTGCCTATAATTGGAGTAAGAGAAATTAAAATAATCTAAAATTTCCAATGTCAATCATCTAATGCAAAATTGTCCTGTAAAATATTCCAAAAATAATTGTATTAAAGATTTTAGGGGTTCACACATATAAAAATCCAACAAATCAGCTGCTTTAATTACTTTAATGCTGGCTGAAAATCCAACATAAATGCTGTGAGATATCCCAGTGCTCAGCCTTTCTGCTGTTAGTTTGCATTTCCTGTGGAGTCATAGAGAGTGAAGGGATCCTCCTTGTATTTCCTGTTGTCCCATGCCAGTTCATCATTATCTCCAAGCCGTTTGCTTCTAGGCTCCTCCTCCATCTCTCATGAGCTTCTGGGTCAATAATCTCCCGGAGAGACTCCTCCACTCATTCAATCTGTCCAGCAGAAATCGCCTTATGCACATTCTCAAATCCCTTTGTCTTTGGAGCCTTGCAGGAAATATCATTTATGTCTTTTCTATGTTATTTATCACTGCAATTGATTTAATTTCAAGCCGTTTTATTTGTGTTTTTAAGGGATAGTACACACAAAGATGAAATCTCTGTCATCATTTACTTTCCCTTTAATTGTTTCAAACTAGTTTGAGTTCTTTCCTCTGTTAAACACTGAAGAAGATACACTGGAGAAAGGCTTTCATTCATCTAATGAAAAAAAAATGCAGGGTAATGATGAGTCACATCTAAATTTAATCACTTGACTCAATAAAAAAAAAAATTGTCTTAATATTTTCTATCTCCATGAAAACAATTTTATATAACCTGGTACAATATATATTTGTCTTGTTGAAAAAAAGTCAATTAATTAAATTATCTTTTTGTTCTAAACAAGATGATATAGCTTTAATTAAAACAACAATTACCATAAAATGTTCATTCATCTCATTTAAAAAAATTAGGGTAATGGTTTCACATGTGAATTTGATGACTTGAGCCAGAGAAAAATAAATAATTTGCCCTAATATTTTTTAAGTCCATGGAAGTACAAAGCATATTGAGTTTCTGTTTAATATGCCTGTGTGAGTAACTTTAAAATTTTACATTGGTCAAAATAAATATTTCTTAGTTGAGCTTAAAATACATTCATATTTAACTTGAAAAATAATTGAAAAATAAAACAAATAATATTAAACTGAAATGAAAGATCCATTTTTAATTGGATGAATTATTGCTTGAAATGTTTTCTTCAGTGTAATTTGATTAAATCTGAAAAGCTTTAATAATTGACATCCATCATATTTGTTTTTTTTTACTATATAAGTCAATGGTTTCAAGTTGTCAGCTTTTTTTAAAGGGGTGGTCCCCTACGATATCATATTTTAAACTTTAGTTGATGTGTAATGTAGTTGTTGAACATAAACAGCATCTCTGAATGTAATCAGCTTAAAGTTCATTTCAAAGGGAGACATTGGCTTTTACAGAGTTAGCTTAGAAAAGTCTACAGTAAACAAAGTTTGGGGACTACAAAAATCTGGGCTAGTGAGATCACAAGTGCTTCAGGTTACATGCATTCATCATGCGCATACATCCCAGAAGCCCTGTAATGTGATAGCAGAGAAAGCTTAAATGCCATCCAAATGCTGTTATTTTTACAGTGCTTCTTCTGTTTCTGTATTTGAGCTTCCAAAGGACATGCTACAAAGAGAGAAGTGCTTACTATTTAATTTTGATATGAAATGTTTCAGAGAATTATAAAAAAAGATATAGCTAGCATTTGACAAAGTACAGCTTCCAGAATCTCTCTCAGTTCTCTCAGTTAGATTCGACTAAAAACTCCTCCATTCCATAAAGACACCCCTCATCTTCACTATTGCTGCAGTGCGTCTCAATGTGGCCTCTCTATTTGCATCTTATAAACACAACCAAGCCTTAAAAATACACTGTGGACCACCCCTTTAAAACATTGTCTCTTTTGTTCATTAGAAGAAAGCACCATTTAAAGTTTTCTAACCACTAAAGGGAGGATAAATAGTGAGTAAATTACAATTTTTGGGTGAACTATCCCTTTAGGGGTTTGTTTACATGCACCTGATTTAATTTCAACACAAATTCTAGTCAAACATGTCAAACATAACCATTGGTCTAAAGTGTATTTTAGAAATTTAACCCAGCACCAGGGATTGTCCTTATTTCAACCCAGATCTGGGTTACTCACTCCCTGGACCATTTTAATTCGAAGTTGTTATTTAGCTGCACCTTGTTGGTGTTTCATTTTTACGAGATGGGTCATTAGCCCAATGCTCAACCCGTCAACCTCTAATCTGGAGGACTAGGACATACACTCATACACTACAGACAATTTAGCTTATACCTAATTCACTAAAGTGCATGTCTTTGGACTGTGGGAGAAACCGGATCACCCCGAGGAAACCCAAGCAAACATAGGGAGAACATGCAAACTCCACAACTGACCTAGCCAAGGCTCGAACCAGCCACATTCTTGCTGTGAGGCAACAGTGCTACCCACACTGCACCACCGTGCCAACCCAATATCTAAACTAAGCTCAAGTATCAGAGTGACATTAGATTTTGCTACCTCGCAATCTTTTCTCTCTCTATTTACTTCAGCAGAAGTGTCTATCAAGTGCTAAGTGTCTTTATTGCTTACAGACAGTGCGCTGCAACACACAAAGGCAATTTCCATAATAATGCAGAGAAGAAAATTTGCTGCCCACAATCACGGCTGAAAGTTTAATCCACTCACATATAAATCAATAGAAGCTCACCCACACATATTAGAGGCATGTGCTGCAAGCGAGCGTTCTGTAATTGTGCTTGTAAACACAGAGGCGGTGCCGTGCCTGTCTTTCACAGCCGGTGCTGATCAGCAGTGACAGGGCTGAGTTTCTGAGTGACTGGACACTGCTGACCCGCAGGCCAACGCAAGGTTAACCATGTTTACTGCCACCGATATCACAGAGCTGCCGGTCATTTCAATCAGGCTACATTTATGCTGCTGTCACAACACATGTGCTGTCCTTCTCATGCCATTTTCGATGTGTCACTCGTGTTTCTTCTTTGTCCGACCTTTTTATTGTAAGATTTCCTTCTACACTGAAAAAAATTATTCATTGGATTTACACATTTCTTTAAGGTAAGTGTTTGCAAACAGTTTATATGGGCTGAATTTAAACAAACAAAATAAATTTAGTAATGTTTCACTTAATTTGTTTCGTTTAAATTCAGCCCATATTAATTGTTTGCAACCACTTACCTTAAAAAAATAGGTCGCTTGAAGGTTGAAGCATAAAGGTCGCTGGTTTGAGTCCCGTCTGGGCATTTGTGTGTGTTCGCATGTTCTCCCCATGTTTGTGTGGGTTTTCTCCAGGTGCTCCGGTATCCGTTACAGTACAAAGACATGCACTCTAGGTTAACTGAATGAACTGAATTGGCCATAGTGTGTGTGTGAAAGTGACAGTGTATGGGTGTTTCTCAGTACTGGGTTGTGGCTGGAAAGACATCCACTGTGTAAAACATATGCCGGAATAGTTTGCGGTTTATTCTGCTGTGCTGACCCCTGATAAATAAGGGACTAAACCAAAGGAAAATTAATGAATGATTTTAGCACAGGTATATCGGCTTAAGAGTCATTTTTTGAACTGGACTACACTGGCTGTACTGTGTCTTTGACTCACTAAAAGATTTGACCTAAAAGTTGCTCTTATTTATTTATTTATTTATTTATTTATTTATGTAATTTATTTAATTTAATTTAATTTAATTTAATTTTATTTTATTTTATTTTATTTTATTTTATTTTATTTTATTTTTATTAAAGTTAAGCATTACTAAAGAACTGGGTCATTTGTTTGTGAATAAGGCTGGTTGCACTGTATGTTCTGAATCACACTAGAAAGAATCACATATTAGAATCATTTTGCAAATTGAAAAACAAATGCACAGCTTGAGGACATGTGGAGCATGCACTGTCTACATGCAGCAGATTTTACCTAAACATTGCCATGACGCCAGAAGGACAAACACTACATAGTCTCTTTTTTTTATTGTCTTTTTTTCTGTTATTATGTTTCCAGTATTTTATATTAGCTAAAAGAAATCAGCTCAAAGGATTCAGTTGCTTGTGAATATACTGGTTGGGTTGCATGTTTGTGCTAAATGGAACTTTAATCTTTTTCCCTTAAAAACGATCATAAAGAAAATTCTTGGAGTTAATCACCTTATTTGCATATATGCAGGGTGTTCGCTGGGTCTTAAAGAGTCTTAAATTCCAAAGACTAAACTGTAGGCCTTAAATAGTCTTAAATTCACTGAAATATTGAGTTGTAGGTCTTGAATAATTTTAAATTTGTCTTAATTTTCCTTTGTTTATGGAAAGCTACCAGTCGATCTAACACACATCTAATCACAGACAATACATATCAATTTAACTTTTAGAAAA